AGTGGAAAACTTGGGTTTATTTGACTTTTTAAACTGATATTTGGTTAATACAAATAAATATCTAGTTGACTTTTTATCTCAGGTTTAGTAGAAGCTTACTTAAAGAAAAAAACCTACATCAAAACAATTTAATTAGTTGCTCTAAATAAATATTTCTTTACAATAATTGATAATAATTAATAATAATTATTAATCACAACAATAAGTTGTTTTCAAGAAACATGATTTACAACCAAATAATCAGAGGAATTTTGTTTAAAATATTTTAGAAAAATAGGCTTAATTGAATTATAAACGCCTTAAAAATTTCAAATCGATATCTTTTGCCGTTCCTCAGAAACTGTCAATGGATTATTATTTTCAAGGGACAAAAATAACATAGGTACGTATAAGTTTATAAGATTTTTTTTCAATTTAATTTAATTGTTTTCTTTAAATCGGGTATAAAAAATATGTTATTTTAGGTATAGTACGAGTATATTGTAAAGTTACATTTTTTCAGGCTAAAAGATGAAATATACAGGCGAGCTTTAGCCAGCCTGGAAACTTTTGAAGGCTGGAAAATCACTTTATAGCCGTAGTTTACACGTTATTTTTTTCCTAAGCAACGTTATTGCAATAAAATATTAAAAAGGTGTAGAGCAGATTTAAAATTATTTAATTTTAACGGCATTTATACAAAGTTAAATATAACTTTCTGCAAAAATCTATACTGGTGGTAATTTAATATTAAAAATTTAATTTATAATTTGCTAATATTAAATTTTATCAGGCCAATTAATTTTTAGAAAGAATATAGCTTTTGTTTGAACCTAAAAGGTTAATTCTAATCCTAAGAATCTTATTTTTTTTAATTTGAAAAAGTAATAAAAAAATATCGCCCAGGCATTTTTGATTATTTTTGCGAGGCTAATTTCTCGCCCATATGGAGACGGTAAAATTCATCTTTATAAATTTTACTTGTAGGAAGAAAAAGCATTTTTGTAAAATTATCTTTAAGTACAATATAAACAAATTAAATTGTTTTTGCATGAATTTCACAAACAATTTTCATCCCACAAATAATTTATAAGAATATTACAAGCACTTTCCGCTGGCCAAGTCATACCATTAAGATTTTGTTTTGATAAACAGAATTAAACAACTTTGTTTAAAGGAATACAAGATATGCAGGCCAATTCACTAACATGAGTCGTTGTTAATTTAATAGAACAGTGTTCATAAAATGTATAAATTTAATTATAGTCCGGTCAAATTAGACCAAAAAATAAGTGTGAAGGTACATAAATGTACAAGCTGAAAATCAGTAAAATTGTTCAGAATATAATTATAAATAAAATTTTAAAGTTCCCCATCATTCCCCCGTATGGAAAAAATTTTATTCAAAAAATGATTTTTCGCGATTTTCAGCAAAACGGTAAGTTTTATCATTAAAAAATGCTACAGACAAAAATTGTAGATCATAAAATTATCTATAAAAAATGTATTAATACTTTTTTCTACGAGCCACCGTTTATGAGATATAACGATTCGAAAAGTTGGAAAAGTTATAATCGTCATAATATGCACAAGTGTCCTCGCCACCTATGAGGTAGTGTACTTAGCGCGTTTTTTAACATGGTTTCCCCAGTAGGCCTATTCCACGGGTCAGTTGTGATCCTGTTTAATTTGAAACTATTGCAAAATAACGGAAATTAGCAAAGATTGGAAAAGATAAAAGCGATGTAAATTAAAAAAAAGTAGAAGTTTATTCGTCTGATTCGTAACATTTAAATTCTTGTTGTTCTTGTTCTTCTTCTTCTTCATCTTCATCCTGGGTACAAGTAAATTGCGCCAATAGCGATGTCACCTCGTTCAAATAAATCCTCCACTGTTGGTGATTCAACATTAGAGCCCGACCGGCCTTGAAAATTCGTACATGCCAGAGAACAAAACAGTCCGACTTTTTTGCAACCACATTAAGCACTACATCCCTTTTTGCAGTTGCGAAAAATTTTGTTCAGCAGTTTTTCCGGCGCAGGTGGGAGTAAAGTTTGAACTGGTTCTAATGTGTTGTTGACCAACCCCAGTCTGTAGCTGATAACCAAGCCACACTTGAACTTGAATACTGGCTCAACAGGTACTTTTTCTTCATGAACTTTTATGGTACTAGTCATAGCTAAAAGAGGAACAACTTTGTCAGCGCGTTTTAATTTAATATTATTGAATGTCAGTCCTGTCATTTTTGCCATAGAAGCAAGTCCAACTTCACGAGCTTTATAACAATTAATTTTATCATCACCAACTACACCGACTCGCAATAGAAACAATTTTGTTAACCTCTGGAAAAGGATCATGCGTTGAGAACCACTCTAAAAGTTTTCGTATGTCATTAGCATATTATATTTTAAGTGTAAGTTACAATGACCGATAGAAAAATATTTTAACATATATTACAACTCTAGAGATGTACGATTACAACTTTTACAACTTTTCGAATCGTTATATCTCAGAAACGGTGGCTCGTAGGAAAAAGTATTTATACATTTTTTTATAGATAATTTTATGATCTACAATTTTTGTCTGTGGCATTTTAATGATAAAACTTACCGTTTTGCTGAAAATCGCGAAAAATCATTTTTTTGACCTTTGACCTTGAATAAAATTTTTTCCATACGGGGGAATGATGGGGAACTTTAAAGTCCAACTCGCAATATGATACTGCTATTATATAACAAATTAAACCTAAAACACCACACAGACGGCAAAGAAGAAAAAACAAGTCGAAGCAAAACACTTTAAAAAACTAATTTGCAAAGAAAACAAAATAAAAGCTAGAGCAAAACATAAGCATGGATGTTGCCTGCAATATATATACCTAAGACCATTTGCATACCCATTTTAGAATATGATGGCCAATTTTTACTAATGCTCGAAACTCTACAATAAACAACATTCAAGTGGGTAAAACGTCAGCTCTAGGATCCTTACCAGAATACGCATTAAGTTGTTGCCTACAACCCTTTTCATAACCCATTAAACTTAATGTTGTAGTTTTTATTTAAGGATTTCTTTTATTCTCCGCTATGTAGTTTTGCGTATACAAATTTGAAGTTGGTAATTTTATATCTCGCAACGTTGCCAAAGCTTGTATCGAGTCGTTCTCAAGATGAAGAATACATAAAAATAATTGCATATTTACCACAATGTTTAATAAATAAAGTTTTATTTCTTATATATAAATTTATCTATACTAATTTACCTATACTAAAGCATTTTCTATAACAACAAAATTGCAATTTACAGGTACATCGGGCAACACAGCTGGTGTCTCAAGCTACAGCGATAACGACTGGTTGCTATATATTTACATTTAAATAACGATCATCTTTAAGTGAAATTTAAAGAATACCAAAATAAAAATGTGTTTATCGAAGTTAAAATTCGTTGTTAAGTAAAGTCGTTAATTTAAGGACTCATTTAGCAACTAAGTTAATGAATTGGCCTGATTGTCTAGTTAAGACTATGTTTTTCTTAGCAAGACTTGACATGCGTATTCCTCACGATTGTGTATCGTTGTTTTCCTTAAATATCATAAGACATTAAAAGTACAGCGAAAGAAAACCTGCCGAAAAAATGCGAAACGCCCATAACTGAAACAGACCTTAAAAAAATAATTTTATGTAATTATTGCAAATTATAAATAAATCAAAGAGAGGCAATGATAGCGATATGTTTTTTAGGTGTCACCTCTCCATTACGTCCCCAACTGTACATTATTGGGTTTGTTCATGTAACAATGCATTTGTTAAGATCGTCTATTAATTGATTTATTTATAATTTGCAATAATTACATAAAATTATTTTTTTAAGGTATAATATGCAGTAGCGGCTTTTTAGAGGAGCCAAGAGAGGCTTAGCCTCCAAAAACCATAACCATATTACCCCAGTTATTTTAATTAAATGCATTTTATAATTTAACCAATTAACTAAATTTAACATAATTGATATTACAATAATACCATTAGTAATAATAAATTAAAATACTTTTTAATCGAACTTTAGTTATACCTCACAGAGAAGGCTGCGATTCCTAAGCTTGCGTTCTTATTTAAATCCATTCATTATCTAAATTCATTCTTATAAAACCCTTGGCGATTTTATAGAATATGGGAGGCTACCATCATGATTTTGCGGAGTAATTCGAGAGCTACCACCGTCTAATTACGGGAGACGAAGAACTAAAGAATTTTTGATATCGTTACATTGTCATTAAAATAGAAATTAAGGGAGAAAACCCTATGTATCCTAACAGTTTAAGCATTAATTAATTATTATCTATACAATGATTTATATAGCTGGCTATAGCCACATATTTTACTTACCTATATTATACTTACCGTGTTTGTTAACAAATATCAAGGTTAAGAATAAAAATCGTGAATTAAGCTTAAAACTTACATCTAAGTAGAATATTTAAGATTTTGTCTCAATTTATTTTTATTGTTATTTATAAATTTTTGCTTGTTGTTTGGTAAACCAATTTATTTCGCTAATTTAAAAAACAAACCAAATTTACTTTATTTACGTGAATTCTTTGTCAGTAAATTTTAGTTTTTAAATAATAAGAGACATATTGCCTTCTTAAAAGAAATACAAATCTTGGCCAAAAAAAATGTCATTCAACTTATTAAAAATAATTTCATTCCAAAAAGGCATAGCGTCAATGTTTAATTTAAAGTATTTGGTGGATATATACTCTAAAAAGGCATACCGTTAATTTAAAGTATTTGGTGGATTATAATAGTAGGTATGATAACAAGAAAGACAACAATTTTTAATTCCGATATATAAAAGATGACTTGGATTGCTTCCTAAGTGTGGTATTAATAATAATACCGTATTATCTATGTCGTTTAGAATCTATGTACTAAATTTGCAATATTAAAACATTTCAAAATTAACTTTAAAAAAATAAAACTTAGGGGTTAATCTAATTTATATTGTTATTTTGATTTTAGGTGAAATGAACGTAACGTATTTGTTTACGAGGTACCGCTTTAATTGGGATGAAGTCGATTTCAGCATTTTTTCAACGTATAGTATGGTCACAAATTTAATAGGTAATAATTAGTTCCATTACATTCCAAACATTTTTAGTTTAATTACATACCTAAATTGCAAATATATTTCTAACCTTGGCTGATTATAACAAATGAAAACGTGCCAGAGGCTTGGGATCGGTTTTTGGGTATTTTTTAGTTTTGTTATTTTTATTTTTATTATATTTCAATTTATTAAATTAATATTTTTAAATTGTCAAGTGTACTCCAAAAATCCTCAAAAAATTTAAAACTATTTGCTACTTTAGTACTTTATTTGTTTACTCAGGGATTTCAAAAAATAACTATGTAAAATAAAAAAGACAACATTTTGTAAATAATTTTTTTAAAAAGCCTTAAACTTTAGGAGACATTTTCTCAAACCATCAAAATGGTAGTTGGATTCAATTTTAGTAATGCTATTTAAATGTACTCCATGGAGAAAACATTTGCTGGGGCTCTACGTTTTTTAATAATAGGTATCGTTTTTGATATTATTTTTTTTGTTAAAATATATATTATATATTATTTTCTATTGAAAGTGGTTTCTTTTGGACTTGATTAAGCAATCAAAGTATGGAATTATCCACACTACACTAGATTGTGACAGAGTACTTTGAATGGCTTATTGCTTTCTATATATAGATATCATTTCAAGAAACACCCCATCCCTTTCTATTAAAATGAATTAGTCAAAAATGACTATTTGTTAATGTGAAAAAGCAGCAAATTAAGTCAACAACAATTTGTATCCTGGACATATAACAGTCAATTTTTAAGTCAGTGTTAAATTGTCCATATTACATGGAAATATGACTATATCTCCAAAACTGTTCTCCTTACAAAACATTTGACAGCATTTTCGGATTTAGTGGATCACACTACATATAAATTGACTCTTAAATGCCTGGGATATACCAACATTGGTGTTGACTAGAGTTATAAGTTACTGCTTATTAACTATGCCAATTTTTAACTAACTCTGCCGAGTCTGCAACATGTAAAAATCATTTTTTTACGATGTAATAACCCGATGTTCACCCTATTTCCAGTGTCATAATGAAACAGGCAGAAATCTTGTTTACCTTTCAAATACCAAGTATAGTTGTCACCGTATTTCGACCGTGACCACGAAACCGTCATGGTGCTGTGTTCATAAAATTTGAATGTATTATTTATGCTTCTGTTATATTTAGAATGAGATGAGGTAAAGGGAGGCATATTGTGGGATATTTTTTTTTAGTTAATGCTTTAGGTTTTTTACCATTGTTTCTTTAGTTTTTGTAAACACTCCGTTGTAAAAAATACGAAGGCTTCTAGTGCTCTTAAAGAAACAAAACATGCTAGATGACTTTTTAGGATGGCTGAGCTGAGTATAGGGGGCTCTAATTCCAGGTGGAGCTTCATTCTATTATCTCACATAAACCAAGCTTACAATTAGAGCTAAATATTTAAAATTCTAGTTGTTAAAGAAGTTTCAGAGTAGGTATATCTTAAGGACATAAATGGCTTTTGACATCCATCAAGCATGATGTGTAGGCCAGGAAAGCATTTCATCCACCTAGAAACAGAAGAGGCAAGCTCAAAAATTCGTTATAATCGTCTGTCCAATAAACATTTTTCTGACTTCCGACTAAACTTGCACTATGTTCAACGTCGCTTTAAGTGAAAATTGCGGTCGGATAATAACTTTGTATCCGAAGTCATTGTTCGACGTATATTTACGTCGGTTGAACGTCAAGTCGTACTTTGGTTAAAAAAAAATTACGAGAATTGTTTGACGGGAATATAGTCTGGAAGAAAGAAGAAGAAGAAAATAGTATACATAACCAATATTAAAATAAAAAATGCCAAAAGAAAAGAAAAAAAGAATTTTTGTATTGTTTTCGTCAGCCTTTTCCTGACACACTTTTTTGGCTAGTTGCGGTATAAAATTTTCTTTAGCCAATTTATATGATGGTACATCATCGTACTCTTCAAACAATTGTTATTAATAACTGTGGTATCTCAGTGTCAGAGACATCAGCACAAGTCCCCCATAGATATATTGCAATATATGTATGGGGGCCTCGTGCTCTTGTTCAGATGCTGAAGTTATTGTTTGCAGCATCCGTGGCAAATTTAAAGGTTGCATAGCCTTGCACTTATATTGCCTCCAATTTTTTTTATCGGGAGAACTATTAATTTGTTCTCGAAAGAGAATCGTTTGGCTCACTGATTTGGGGAACCAGAGTGTCTCCTTCTCTTTCCACCTATGCAGCACGGGCTCCACTTCCCCCTTGGGGCAAATCCTTAAAATACACCATTTTAAAATGCTCCATAATAACATAGACAATACACAATAATAGTACCAACATTGGACCGAATTAGCAAAGCTTCCCTAACAGAAAAAGCGCAGTTTTTCAGTTTGACATATGATTTTCAGGTTAGGTAGGTCGTTACGAGGAAAAAATAGGTAGTTTAAATGACTCGAGGTCTCAAACTTCGTCGGAAATTGGTATTTCGAGCTACCGACGTCGTTAAGACGTCTTTTATTGACCGTCGGTTGGTATGTGGACAAATTTGGTTAATTTGTTTACTACGCCATTTTCGCGAACAAAACGAAGAGGTGACGATGGACGCCATTAAAGAAAGATTTGCTTTTTTTTAGATTTTTACGGTTCATTGAAATAAAATAACAACTTTTTTATGTTTTTTTAAGTTAGTTTTTTAGAACTGGTTCAAATTTTGTTTAAAAAACACATTTTTATTAAAACTTATTTTTATGCAAAAATAATTAAATATGCAAAACTGAAAGATTTCTTGAAGCCCACGCATGTTTTGCCAGAAAACATAACCATATTTATCAGTAAAATGCATTTCGTATGGATATTTCAATATAGATCACCCGTTAAAAGTCAAATAACACATTATAATACATTGTTATACGTGTTCATTCCATAAAGAGTCGACATCTTTTGCATTTCTATGTCTTTCTACAATATTGGTAGAGATTAAGTTATTTTATTAACGCACGACTATTTGTTTGTGCAGCGTAATGACGAAATAGGTAAAAATCTCGACTTCAGTAGTCAGCAACCGACGTCGTGACGATCCAAATTCGTTCGCTCCATTTAGGTACAAATGATGGTCATCATGTGAGTCATACGACGTCGGCTGCCGACGTCGGGTCGCCCCAGACGACGTCGCTTTTACGTCCAAATGTTTATTGGGTGGTGGTTGCTGTTTTTTAGTTAGTATTTCTTTTCTTAAACGATTAACTAAATGATTCTGAAATATGCCAATATCAGCTGCGCTATAAACAGTTTGATCAATAGTTGGTTACGGTTTCTGAGAGCGGTTAAAGAGTCCAGTCTCTGGACCATCAGTAGAGCCAAACGAACATGAGAAAGCAGCAAGCTTCATGACATGATGCTGGCATCAATGCAGACAAGTTCACGTTCAAAAAATTGTTTAGGTGGCGACCAATGTTACTTGCCTTAGTATCAAATACGATGCCTTTAATGAACGATTTAACTTAACATTTCTTGGTTGCATCAACCCATGCTTGAACTTGAGTCTTTCCTGTTATTCTATCGATTTTTGGAATAACCAAAAGTTCTTCATGGCCTTTTCCAGTGACAAACAGCGATGCGGTCAACTTTGTTTTGGATCCATTAATATGAAATACTTACCTTCTGGACGACCAGTAAATGGCAACCTAGAGGGTTTAAATTTGTTACGAATTTTATTACAGAATTACATAGAAAAATGAGCTATGTGAAGGCAAGATTTAACATTTTTTTTCTCCATACAATTATGGACCACATTGTACATAACTACCCAGTCAGCATCCAATTCAGAAAGATTTCAGTATGAAGTCGTTTAAACAACTTCGTGTAGAAGTTCTAACATGACGTCCTAATAGCCCCTTTTTATGAGCTCAGAATTCTGAGCTGTTAATGAACTCATAAATAAGAAGTCAATTTTTTTACGTACAAATGAAGATCTTTTCTTGACATCTTTTTGAACAATTTATTTTGAGCTTACAGAGTATTCTTTTTTCTTACTTCCAATTGAAATCATACTATTAACTCTTTTAGAAGTCAACATGGAGACGTCACATTTATGACATTTTAATGCAATTACTTTCTTCTCACCGCTGTTACTGCTTGTGTTTGATATAAGAAGCGGCGAAGTAGAATTTAGAGCGTGCTCCATACCAAACGGTCTTAGACCTGGGTAAACGGCTACCCGATACTGACGAGCTCCAAAAGAGCGAAACAGGCCGTCTATCGGTGCCGGTGAAGAGCACGCTTGAATTTAAACAAAAGTGAGACGAAGTAATCGCTATTCCTAAAATAGGCGAATACGACCAAATTATTAAAATAATTTTAATAAAATCAATTTAACAAATTAATAAAATTAATAAAATAAACTTGACATGTCAAAATAAGCAACGATCCAGTATGCAATTTCTTCATCAGTACCCTAGTAGTACTTCTATATCCAAAACGGAAAATTCTAAAGAAGTCTTTTTATAAGTTTATACAGTAGGACTCTTTAAATGCTTAATTGAAAAGTCAAAGAAAAGGGTTCCTCAAGAGTTCTTTTTTGAGAATTCTTGATTAGTTCAATAGGTGGCGCATTCGAAGTCTTAAGAACTTCTTAAAAACTTCTTTCTGATGTTGTATTTGACGTCCAAATCATAAAATAGAGCTTATGCAGACTTAATTAAGACGTCATATTGCTGTCTGGGTATTTTAACCAACCCCCCGCCACTGCTGTCAAGTGTCTTAGCACACCCTAATAGTATGATATCTGAGGTTTTAAACATAAAAAGGTTTTGGCAATATTTTAAATAAACATTTGTAAATAAATAAGCATTGTCCAAGATAACTACATGGTGTTATTTGTTTAGGGCAGTATGTTGAAAAAAAATGAACAATAACAGGAAAGTATTATGCCAGTATTATTTAATAAACTGTTTAGATAATAAAATCAAGCAGAGGCGTATTTAGGATTATTGACGCCTGAGACTAAAATTAATGGGATTTTTATGAATAATACACAAATGATGTCAAGGCAATTTAATATATATTTCTGAAATGATGAAGTTTATTATTTTTTTGTTTTGTTATTTTTTTATTCGATATGTACACTCTAATTGTAAAGCATTTTTGCATTAAACAATATTTTAAAAACTTAACTTTTCTGGCATTTGCTTTCGCGAATTCAGCAATGATATCATTTTAATCTATTAATGATGTTATTTGTGCATAGATTTGGCGCCCCTTAACTTCGCCCCCCTAAATCCGCCACTGAAATTAAAAATAAAAGCGACAACAACAGTGTACGGTCTTACGTATCCATCAAATCGACGCCAAAACTCATCGAATTATTTCCCCATCTACCGTAATTTCCAGACATGGCTTTCAGCCCAAATTAACGGTTTTAAAAATTAAAGATAAACCAAAAAATGTTTACAAAACATATAGGGACTTTTCAGCCCATATAGCACATACAGTGTTAAATACAAATATAATAAATATAAACCGATCTCAATCCTCCAGCACCTTTTATTGGTTTTCTCAAATGTAATTTCCATAACCTCTGGTGTTCCACAAGGAGGTCATCTGTCTTCTTTGTTATTTAATGATATATGCAGTAATGTAAAATATTGTAAGTTTTTATTATTTGCAGATGATTTAAAGCTTTATTTACAAATTATCTGTATTAACGACTGTCTTAATGTACAATCCGATTTGAATGTTCTAAGGAAGTGGTGTAAAATAAATTGTATGCAGTTAAACATTTCTAAGTGTAAGGTAATGCGGTTCTCCCGATTAAAACATATGTAATGAATCACGTTGAATTAGAGTATGTGAATTGTATTAAAGATTTGGGGGTGTATTTTGATGTTAAAATTTCATTTAATTACCATATTAATGTCATAAAAAATAGCGTATTAAATATGTTGGGACATTTTAAAAGATCAACTAAAGATTTCTGTGATGTTAAATGTATTAAAGTAGTTTATATTTTTTTTGTCAGAAGTATCCTGGAATATGCTAATATTATTATATAATTGTTATTATCATATACATAATATGTATATGATAATTACAATTATATTATATTATAAATAAACTGGAAAATGTTCAAAATAAATGTTAAAGATATTGTGCTTTTAAGGCATCTATACCTACAGATAATTTGGTTTACCCTCAGTTAAGAAGTCAATTAAACCTTAAAACGCTTGAATGTAGAAGACTAGAAAATGAACTTATATTTTTTATTTAATTTAATTAACTCTTAGATAAATTGTCCCTATTTATTAAGCAAACTGAACTTTCATGTTCCTAAACGAACACTGAAAGAAATATATGTTTGTTTTAGCAATGTATGTGGTAGTCCATATATGAAACATAAAATATATTTACCTTAACCATTTTTATATTTAGTTTTAACATATTATGTTAAAACTAAATATAATATATGTTTGTTTTAGCAATGTATGTGGTAGTCCATATATGAACCACATACATTGCTAAAACAAACATATATTTCTTTCAGTGAACTGTTAGAAATCAATCTATGTTTTACCTCTCAACTCATAATACAAATTACGGCCACTTTATGCTTATCGACAGAATATGTACAACTGCCAACAATTTAAATTTTTTATTTTTTAATGTTACTTTACAAACATTTAAATCTGAACTTAAACTAAAGCTATAGCAATTGTGATTTATTTATTTACTGTGTATACACGTTATATTTATTATTTTTTTACATATTCTATATTTTGTCATTTCCGTTAATGAATTTATTTATTTATTTATTTAACTGTTATTTTTTTAGGCACATCTATATCGGTTGGTATATTCAGCCATCTTTTAAAAATTGATGACGCAATTATTGGCATTTACTCTTCGATGAGTAAAATTTTGTCGAGTTTTGTCTATGGTTTTGCCAAAACGTCCTTGGTTTTTTATTTAGGTAAATATTTCCTTTCCTTTCCTTTATACAGTTTTTTAATATGTTATGTATACACAAATCTCTTCTTTTAACGGATATGATGATTTTCTAGCAATAAGTTATTTGGTGCTTAGTAGAGTGCATGATTGTAATATTAGTTGCCTAGATTGGTTTTTTACTAGGATAATTTTATACATTCTGGTCAACTTTTAAACCCGAGCAGATTGTAACAATTACTTGATTACATGATGCGCTAAATCCGAATCTTTAATCCTTTTGGCAACATTGGATCTAGTTTTCGAGCTCTCAACTCTGAAGGACCGGCTTTTAAGTACTTACCCTGTTGTAAATGACCGATTAATTCCTGTAGAAACCAATTGAAGTATTGGTTGGTATCAATGAGTCTGAATTGGACTTACTGGATTTAATTGGGCGCGATATAAAACAGAAATTGGTTTTTACTGGTATTTTCCATGAAGGAAAAGTCCAATAAGGATTCTAATGGTTTTTATTGGTTTCGATTGGATAAATCTACCTATAGGTAATTTCCAATTAAATTCAATTGGGCATTTCCAGTGTAAGATTCGAAAAAAGAATCTGCTAATTGGTTACTCCCAATATATACTTTAAAATATGGAAAAATCCAATTAGGATTCTACTGTTTTTTAGCGGTTTTGATTGGATAAAGCTACCTATAGGTAATTTCCAATTGAATTCAATTGGGTATCCCCAGTGTGAGATTTGAAAAATCTGATTGGTTATTCCAAATAGTATTGGGCCAATACAATACAAATATCGCAAGAGGGCTCTCGTGTAACTGCGCAAAATCAACGAGGTTAAGACGCCATCATAAAGAAAAAACAACAAGTCTTTGGACGCCATTTATTAGCAGTTTTTTTTTATTAGTCGATTTCTGTGTTAAGTGCCTAGTGTTAGTAGGGTACTTACCTATACAAAAAAATGTTTATATGTGTAAAGTTTAGGGACGATGGCGTAAGAATGGTTGTCACAGCGGACAAAATAAAAAAATTTTACATAAACAATATCGACTTCGACCATGCCTACAAACATCCTTTGCAAGAAAAACAAAAAAACGATTATAACCGAGTAATTTTATTTATTTTTTATTACTTTTTGTGATAGTAAGTTATATGTATCAATACCTACATACATATGTCACAAAAAAATAATAAAGAAATAAAATTACTCAGTAACAATTTTTTGTCTCTTCTGTGAAAAATGAATTCTGGTTTTTACCAGGTTATCCTTCTGGGATCTAAAATTATTTTTGAATGAAAAATAAACTGGTAGGTATTTTCTAATCCAAATTTAAAAATATGAATTGGTTTGAATTAGTTGGAATGGGTTTGGCGCTATGAATTACCAATTCATTCCATGTGCATTTATATTGGATTTAACCAATAGAGACAAGCATAGGCATGGATGACTTCATTGGAAATTACCAATAGGAATTCAACTGGAATGAATTGGTGATTCATAGCGCCAAAACACATTTTAAACCAATTACTTATTTTTTATTGGATTATATTGGTCATTTATAATTGGGTAATCAAATTTTACCTGTCATACGCAATATCAAATAGGAAATATTTGTTGGACCTGATATTCGAAAATGAATGGCCGATGAGAAAATGTTACCAATACCAAGGATTTTGGGATGAAGGCATAATGATCGACTGCAGTTGGACTCGAATGCGTGAAACGCATCCCAAACAATAGAAACGACTGAGTTCCACCGCTCTTTATTTCTGATTAATCATTTTTATAATTATAATTAAACGCAAATTGTATTATACAATGACTACTAATTGTCAACAGTCATAAAAAAATAGTTAAAACCGGAACAAATTCTAAAAAATTAAGTTAAGAATCGGATGCAGCGCTCCAAATTAACATAGAAACAAAGAGGGCAACAAAAATTTCCTATAAATATTTTAATTGTGTCAAATAAATGTGTAAATAATGTTTAATTTTGATTTTGGGATCATTTTTTATTATCTTGCTAGATCTCAAAATTGTTGTACCTAAATTTTATTCACCTTAAAAGTAAAGTACAGTGGTCATTAACATATTTTACTTCTTTTTTAAAAATATACATTTGTTTTTTTAAATTTAAGGAGCAATTGTTGAAATCCTAAATGGAACATCATTTATTGCAATGAGATCCATAGCCTCGAAATTGGTTCCTACTGATGAGTTGGGTAATTTTAAAATCTCATAAAAAAATACCATAATTATTTTTTTTATGTTTTAGGTAAAGTAAACTCGTTATTCGGGGCATGCGAAGCCTTGATGCCCCTACTTTATGGACCCATGTACAGTGCGACCTACGCGGCAACCATTAATTATATGCCTGGGGCATTTTTTATTCTCGGTGGGATACTTACTGTGCCAGCGGTCCTTATATTTGGGTACTATTTTATTTACTTTATTAAAGCTGTATTTATACTTAATGATAATATTACGGAAAATTTAAGCTTTCATGTTGCGATGGCATATGCATAAGAATTCTTTATAAATTTTGCCTTGTAATTGCACCATAAGTAATACAGGGTATACTTACAGGTATATTTTTATGATTTCCATTATTTGTTTGTTTAATGAAAACATGTAAGTTTTCAATTTTTATAATATATAGGGTGGCGCAATGGGTATTGACGGTTTTTAGAGTGTTCCTTTATGGACCTAATAAAACGACCGAAGTCGAAATACATTACAACAAAAAATAAACTTTCTTGATGTTAGCAGTTACTGCTATAATGGCATGCATAACCGCTATTAAAGGATTTTTTTAAATTTCATCCTTAAGGGATAAATTTGGACACCAAATTTAGTTTTAATTCCGGTGCATTGGCCATTTTTTAAAGTATTTAACGGCTTAACGGATTTGGTAAACAGGTGTCATGGAACGGGACAGTAGCGGGACAAATTTTACTTTCTTTAAACTTTATTTGCCTTTTTTGAAATAAAACTTTGTGGACAGGTTAAACCTAATGTGAGTAAGATGAAACGGAAACGGCGAGCGGACATGTCTTCGTCGTATTCGAACAAAATTCGCAAAGTACCTACCATAAATTAAAAAAATGTTAGGATAAAGTTGGACAGTAGGTAGTTCAAAATTAAAAAAAGGGGTAAAAATATGCACAGTAGTATAAAAATAAAAAAATGGTGATGACAAATTTTTAAATCTTTTAATTTAAAAGCTTAAAAATAAATAAAAGATCAAAAGCATAAAAAACGTATAAGCTTAGTGTTTAAAATGTTAAGGGTAATTGAAAACTGCTCAAATTGAAAACAAAATTGTAAAATTAAAACCTGCTTTCACATTTAATTTAAAAATCGGTTTGTTCAATTCTTTAAGGAATATAATACATATAATAATAATAATACATAATGATTATAATAATACATAATGATTATAATGAACTATCCAAAAGATAGTTCAGCCGTGAGTTCTAAGCGCACATGTGTTTTTTTTTTAGTTTATTAAATTTTGTTTTATCTTTTTGAATTATATTTTTTTTTAATACAGCTAGACTATCGCACTAAATATGCTTTTAAACTCAAAAATTACTTGTCAGGAAAGATTGTCGTCAATTTCTTCGCTACGATGTTTTGAGTTAGGTACCATCACCATTCTTTAGTTTTTATAATAGCCGGCAAAACTTATGTAGCTAATACATCGTTGGATGTCTATCTAATCATGTAAAATTTCAATATGGCAGCCATAGAAAAAGCAGAAGATGGTGGTGGTATCCCAATATACAGGGTGTTTCAAAACATGTGTCGGAAAACAAAGGATGGGATTCCTTGACTAATCCGCAATGCACCGTTTTCGAGATACAGGGTGTCAAAAATTGATTGTTTTTTTGTTTTTTAACAATATCTTAGAAAACGTTTGAGATTTAAAACTAAGCTTTTGTACACATCTTATCAATAATATTAGCTACTTTTTTAGTCCCAATGCAATTTTTTTTTATATATTAGTGGCGGAAATCTAAGGGTTGTGTGAGCTTTTTTTGACTCTAATTTCTTTAAAACTGTTGATATTGGCACTTTTTAAACTTTTACACAAAAAAGGTACTCTTGGTCAAAAGCTCTAGCGTGGACCATTTTAGAGAAAAACGGCATTTTATGACGAAAAGCATGAAAAAATTAGCAACATGTCTACATATTATTGATAAGGAAAAACATTTATTTTTTTATCTACATAGTCGTCCGCTTTATTGCAATTTTTGTCAACAATAAAAAACTTTCAAGTTTATTGTTTATTATTTAGTTAAGACAATTAATTCGCCCATTCGTAGTATTTCATTTGCGTGGTGATATAAAATTGAATAATTACACCGATAGAAAAATTAAATAGTCAAAATTCTACTATTTGAATTAGTACCAGCATTTTTTACTAATAAAATAGTCGTTTTTACTTTTAAATAGTTATTTTTTACTACGTAAAGTTTGACTAATTTGAGATTAGTCACCATATTTGACTATTTCTGACAGTTAAAAGTAACTAATTTCTTTAATCGTTTACGGCCAACAACAAAGTATTATTTGAATTAAATGCATATACCTCTCCATGGTTAAATGACCCATAAAACAAATAAAGATGCAAAAAGTTTAGCTCAAAACAGTAACACAAATAATATATTAAACTTTAAAATATTATGAACAATATTTATTGACAAATAAAATTTATTTTTATAATAAGAGCGGCTGACAGCCGACTGGTTATGAGGTTAGGTTGACAAGCTTCTATACCTCTCCATGGTTAAATGACCCATAAAACAAATAAAGATGCAAAAAGTTTAACTCAAAACAGTAACACAAATAATATATTAAACTTTAAAATATTATGAACAATATTTATTGACAAATAAAACTTATTTTTATATAAGAGCGGCTGACAGCCGACTGGTTATGAGGTCAGGTTGACAAGCTTCTCAAGTGACAGACATGACTTCAATCCCAGGCTGGGTCAAAACTTTTTTTAAATTTAAATTTCATTCAGTGGAATTTGACTAATTATTAGTGACTGCTTTTTCGCTATGACAATTAGTCAAATATGACTTATAATTAGTTATTTTTGACTAATTCATTTTAAGAGAGTGTGCGATATGCATTTTGTTTATGGCGTTGCCGATTGAAATTCTGCAGAAGCTCGTCGAATTTATCAAGAAAGTTTTCCAAACCGACCGCTACCAAATGAAAAAATATTTATTCGTATTCACGAACGTCTGCAACAAACTGGAAGTTTACATAAAAGAAAAGGAGGAAATGGGAGACCGCGCCTGCTAAATCCTCACATGGAAGAAGAAGTTTTACAAGAAATCGAAGAAAATTCAACAATAAGCACTAGAAAAATAGCTTCAAATCTCAACCTTACACGTTACAGTATGGAGGATACTACAAAACCAGATGTTATACCCTTATCACATAAAACGAGTACAATCCCTTTTAATAAGGAATTTTACACAAAGATGGGTTATTTGTCAATGGTTTCAAAATAGGATTGCGCAGAATCATCGATTCTTTAAACAAGTTTTATTTATGGACGAAGCAAACTTTTCCCGCGATGCAATTATGAATTTCCATAATAATCATGTATGGGCCGACGAAAATCCTCATGCCCTAATGGAAGCAACAATTTTCTCTTAATGTTTGGGCAGGTATCATTTAATTGGGCTACACTTTTTGTCGCTAAGGCTAACTGGTCAATTATATCGAAGTTTTCTAGAAGAAGAACTGCCAGGACTTTTAGAGGACGTTCCGTATCAATGGGGTAGTTAAATTTTTTCTGACCTATACTTTTTATGGTTTTATTCAAGGCGTTTTGTAATTTTAAACATTTCTGTGAAATCGGAATTTCAATTGAGTTTACGGTTTTCGAGATATTTACAAAAAATAATCTCCTAATTACGTCACTAGGCTATTGACAACGTTGCCAGCTTTTTCTATGGTTGCCAGTGTGTTTAGTTTAAGATTCTTACGATAGATGGCGCCACGTTATAATATTTTAGTTTTAAAACCACTTGATCTATAATTTTAGTTGAGAAGAAGAAGAATTTATTTTTTGACGTTTCTTTTTTTCGGGTTATGTTTTTTTAAATTTAGATTATTGAAAATCAATGTTATTGTTATGTTATTTGTAATTGATATTAGATAAGTGATTTATTAATAACGGATTCCAAAGCAGAGGAATCTTGTGGAATGGTTGGTTACATTGAACATTGGAGCTTTTAAACAAATAAAGAAAGTACCTATAATTATAATCATATTTTGTCGTAAATGCATTTCATTAGTATAATGCCTAGTTCTTTATATTCTTTTAGATATATCTTAAAATGTACTCTGGAGCGTAGTATCTTTGAACAGTCCAAAAGTTTGTCATACATTTTTTTATTCTTACAAAAGGTTTTGATGCTCATCATCAGGGATGCAAGTTTTATAAAAACTATACACAAATATCATAAATACCATTGTTAACTTACATTTACTGTTATATTTTGTAAATTTATTTCATTCATTTTCAGCTTTATTTTGCCACTTTTTTCTATGAAATATATTAAACTCTGCTTTAGACAGTTATTGGGTACATATTTATTACATTTTATTAGGTTTCACACGGTGTTTCAATGTGTAAAATGTGGTTTTTCTATGGTGTAAACCTATGAATAAAACTTCGAATTTCAGAATTTTATTTAACCTCCTCTTCTTCGTCTTCTTTCACTTAACTGACAGTGACAGTATTTGTACATAACCTCTTCGGGTATTTTCTGACATAACCGAATAAAATCATTAACAAGACAAACTTGACAACAGGGTAATTTTCAACCAATAGAAATTTTAGAATGTTGGTCACATGGCGAGGTTTGTGACGTCATAAAAATTTATATTTTTTGTAAATATCTCGAAAACGGTAAACTCAATTGAAATTCTACATTCACAGAAATGTTTAATATTACAAAACGCCTTGAATAAAACCATAAAAAGTATAGGTCAGAAAAAATTTAACTACCCCATTAAGAAACGATATGTGGTTTATGCACGATGGCGCTCCTGACAGAAGCCTCCTACACATTTCAGTTTAGTTGCTTTGGTCTGCCTTGGTCTGCGCGGTCTCCAGATCTAAATGTTTTTGATTTTTTTTGTAGCGCCACTTAAAAACTTTAGTTTACACAACACCGGTTAATACTTTTGAAGAACTATAGTAAACACACATACGTTAATTAAACGTTTTTTTAAACCGTAACACCATTTTGTTTTTACGTATATTTCTAACGTACAATCAACTTTAAAATGTCGCAGATTATAACGTTTAACAATACTAATAAATAAACGTTTAATTTTGGCGTTAAGAAAACGATCATTACACGTTTCGAAATGTTACATTTAAAACGTTTAATATACG